CAGTGAAGAGGCGAGGCAGGAGCTGAGTCTCGACCCCTGCAACTACAATTAGGCGAGTGCAATTAGGCGAGTATACACAACACACACACACACACACACACACACACACACACACACACACACACACACACACACACACACACACACACACAGCACCGGTCCTAGGACCGGTGCTGTTTCTGGTATTTGTGAACCACATGACGGAAGGAATAGACTCCGAAGTTTTCCTCTTTGCAGGTGATGTGAAGTTGAGAAGAATCCAGTCGGACGAGGACCAGGCAGAACTACAAAGGGATCTGGATAGGCTGTAGGCCTGGTCCAGCAACTGGCTCCTGGAGATCAACCTCACGAAGTGCAAAGTCATAAAGATTGGTCATGTGCAAAGAAGACCGCAGACGGCGTACAGTCTAGGAGGCCAGAGACTACAAACCTCACTGAAGGAAAGAGATCTTGGGGTAAGTATAACACCAGGCACATCTCCTGAGGCGCACATCAACCAAATAACTGCTGCAGCACATGGGTGCCTAGCCAACCTGAAAACAGCATTCCGACTTCTCAATAAGGAATCATCCAGTATCCTGTACACTGTGTACGTTAAGCCCATATTGGAGTATGCAGCGCCAGTTTGGAACCCTCACCTAGCCAAGCAAGTTAGGAAACTAGATAAAGTGCAAAGGTTTGCATCAAGACTAGTCCCGGAGCTAAGGGGTATGTCCTACCAGGAGAAGTTAAGGGAAATCGACCTGACGACACTGGAGGACAGAAGAGATCGCGGGGGGGGGGGGGAGGGGGCGTGATAACGACAAAAAATAGTGAGAGGAATCGACATGGTGGACAGAGATAGAACGTTCTAGAGATGGGACACAGCAACGAGGGGTCACAGTTGGAAGCTGAAGACCCAGATGAATCACAGGGATGTTAAGAAGTATTTCTTCAAGTCACAGAGTAATCAGGAAGTGGAATTGTTTGGGAAGTGATGTAGTGGAGGCAGGATCCATACATAGCTTTACGATGAGGTATGATAAAGCTCATGGAGCAGGAAAAGTGACCCAGTAGCTGCCAGTGAAGAGGCGGGGCCAGAAGCTGTGACTCAACCCCTGCAACCACAACTAGGTGAGTATACACAAATAACCCGCACATAAAAGAGAGAAGCTTACGACGACGTTTCGGTCCGACTTGGACCATTGACAAAGTCAATGGTGTGACTTTGTCAATGGTCCAAGTCGGACCGAAACGTCGTCGTAAGCTTCTCTCTTTTATGTGCGGGTTATTTGTGAATCGTTCCAGTCACGGTATTGTGCCTTTTTGTTATTTATAGGTGAGTATACTCACACAACAGACCTAGTGTCACGTACCTTGGACATAATGGGAACTAACACACGCACCAAACAAAACTACTGTAATGCTCGAGACTGCTGCAACCATCATACCATTAGCACCATGTCGAAACATTGGTACCATTTGCACCAAGTGGAACTATTGGCACCATTAGTACTATGCCGAACCTTTGGAACCCTGCAGAACCATTGATGTCAGTGCACAAAGTGGAATAAATGGTACCATTAGCACAAAGCAGAGCCACCAGTACCATTAGTACCATGTGGAAACATTAATACCATATAGAACCATTAGTACCATGTGGAACCAATAGTACCATGTTATTAGTACAGTTATTCAGGCTACAACGTTGTGTAGTTTTAAAAATAGGTTAGATAAATACATGAGTAGGTGTGGGTGGGTGTGAGTTGGACCTGACTAGCTTGTGCTGCTGGGTCTGGTGCAGTGCTCCTTCCTTGAGTGGAGATGATCAGACTTTGTGGGTCATTGGGCTAATCCGGGAGGGGGGGGACATGGACCTGCTCCGCATGGGTCAGTAGGCCTGTTGCAGTGTTCCTTCTTTCTTATGTTCTCATGTAAAACCATCGGCACCATTAGCACCGTGTGCTTTCAAGCCTATGGTGAGAAAATATTATGGCATAAAGCACACATCTGTACATATGTCATTCATTTATAGCTGGATATTATCTACTTAGCTTATACGGCAAACGTTATTTTGATAAGACGAATTTATGAATTAATTTTTAATTCACGATATTGACATATTTAGTTTGTCAAACAATAGTAACCAAAGGTAGGTAGGCCGGCGCTAGCTAGACTGGCACTAGCTAGGCTGGCATTAACTAGGCTGGCACTAGCTAGGCTGGCACTAGCTAGATTTGATGCAAGTTTCTGCTGGTATATATCGACAAGTTGAAAATTAAGATACATGTGCAACAGTTGGGTATCTTTATTGAGATTTACATGTTTCACCTACTTGAGCAAGATACAAAGGTATCAGACATAATAGCAAAGACAATGTAATCTGTCAATCAACCTTAGAGAAAAAGTATTTTAGGCGGTCATTCCCTAACCTACTTCGCCTGCTGTCTCTGGAGTTGACTGAGGAAGCCTATTATGTAGGCAGAACTTGTCAATCACAATAAAGATTACTAGATTAGATTCTTCTTCTTCTTATGACCAGAGCTTTGCTAAGATGGGTAAGGAAGGAGGATAGGAAAGGATAGAAATATTGGAAAAGGGTGGGAGGGGGGGAGGGGGGGAGAGGTAGGTAAGCCGATTTTTTGCATGCATTTTAGTCTTCTATAAGTATTCTCAATATAACAGTAGTTGAAGCTCTGATGAAAATAAACGTTTAAAACTGTTGTAAATATTGAGCTCAGTGGAATATTTAAAGATATCCTCGTCGCCTGACTGAAGCTTCCCAGCTCAGACTGACACACTGAAGCTTCCCAGCTCAGAGTGACACACTGAAGCTTCCCAGCTCAGACTGACACACTGAAGCTTCCCAACTCTGACTGACACACTGAAGCTTCCCAGCTCAGACTGACACACTGAAGCTTCCCAGCTCAGAGTGACACACTGAAGCTTCCCAGCTCAGACTGACACACTGACGCTTCCCAGCTCAGACTGACACACTGACGCTTCCCAGCTCAGACTGACACACTGACGCTTCCCAGCTCAGACTGACACACTGAAGCTTCCCAGCTCAGACTGACACACTGACGCTTCCCAGCTGAGACTGACACACTGAAGCTTCCCAGCTCACACTGACACACTGAAGCTTCCCAGCTCAGACTGACACACTGAAGCTTCCCAGCTCAGACTGACACACTGACGCTTCCCAGCTCAGACTGACACACTGAAGCTTCCCAGCTCAGACTGACACACTGACGCTTCCCAGCTCAGACTGACACAATGACGCTTCCCGGCTCAGACTGACACACTGACGCTTCCCGGTTCAGACTGACACACTGACGCTTCCCGGCTCAGACTGACACACTGAAGCTTCCCAGCTCTGACTGACACTCTGACGTTTCCCAGCTCTGACACACTGAAGCTTCCCAGCTCAGACTGACACACTGACGCTTCCCGGCTCAGACTGATACACTGATGCTTCCCAGCTCAGACTGACACACTGACGCTTCCTGGCTCAGACTGACACACTGACGCTTCCCAGCTCAGACTGACACACTGAAGCTTCCCAGATCAGACTGACACACTGAAGCTTCCCAGCTCAGACTGACACACTGAAGCTTCCCAGCTCAGACTGACACACTGAAGCTTCCCAGCTCAGACTGACACACTGAAGCTTCCCAGCTCAGACTGACACACTGAAGCTTCCCAGCTCAGACTGACACACTGAAGCTTCCCAGCTCAGACTGACACACTGACGCTTCCCAGCTCAGACTGACACACTGACGCTTCCCAGCTCAGACTGACACACTGAAGCTTCCCAGCTCAGACTGACACACTGACGCTTCCCAGCTCAGACTGACACACTGACGCTTCCCAGCTCAGACTGACACACTGAAGCTTCCCAGCTCAGACTGACACACTGATGCTTCCCAGCTCAGACTGACACACTGACGCTTCCCAGCTCAGACTGACACACTGACGCTTCCCATCTCAGACTGACACACTGACGCTTCCCAGCTCAGACTGACACACTGAAGCTTCCCAGCTCAGACTGACACACTGAAGCTTCCCAGCTCAGACTGACACACTGAAGCTTCCCAGCTCAGACTGACACACTGAAGCTTGCCAGCCCTGACTGACACACTGACGCTTGCCAGCCCAGACTGACACACTGAAGCTTCCCAGCTCTGACACACTGAAGCTTCCCAGCTCTGACACACTGAAGCTTCCCAGCTCTGACACACGGAAACTTCCCAGCTCTGACACACTGAAGCTTCCCAGCTCAGACTGGCACACTGAAGCTTCCCAGCTCAGATTGACACACTGACGCTTCCCAGCTCAGACTGACACACTGAAGCTTCCCATCTCTGACACACTGAAGCTTCCCAGCTCTGACTGACACACTGACGCTTCCCAGCTCAGACTGACACACTGACGCTTCCCAGCTCATACTGACACACTGAAGCTTCCCAGCTCAGACTGACACACTGAAGCTTCCCAGCTCAGACTGGCACACTGAAGCTTCCCAGCTCAGACTGGCACACCGACGCTTCCTTATTTGAAGACCCATCCTGTGTGACGGACCATGATTATGTTAATAAGGAAGGGTTATACAGCACCTAGGGGAGTAGGAGTGGAAGGTAAGCAAACTTGTTCCAAGGAAGAGGAGACTAGCCCCAATTCCTTGGACCAGGAACCATTCACCAGCATCAAGGCACTTCTGGGAGTATCTGTTGCTGCGACCTTGTGACACTCAACACAGACCAGACTCGCCAAACTTTGTTTTCTAACACATTGTGATCCTTTTTAGCGATTTTAAGTTGATGGTTAAGTTAGTTACAGAGCAAAATTCCAATTTTGCACATTATATTAATTCACGTGAATATATCTGTTAATTCACAAGATAAAATCTACTTTTTCTTAGAAGAAAATTCGACATTTTATACCACTGGCAAAAGAAAAATGCCCGAAATATATACCCTATTCTATTACAGATCAGTAATTAAAATATTTGTGCCACTTACAGGAGAGAAGATAATGAGGCGAGCTGCGTGTATGTGGCCACCTCCAGTGTTGTATGTTGACTGATAACACGAGAGTGAGTGCCAAGCCAGCCTGTCCACCTCAGCACTACAGTGCCACATGTTTCACCCAGTGCCAGCGGCTATCACTCCAGGGAACTTATCGTATATAACTTGGCTCCAGGAGCAACACTGCTTCATTTTTCGTCTCTCATGAAAACATTATCCTGAGAATAGAGAGATTCATTCAGGCGAGAGTAGCCGAGAAGCCTAATCGAATCATACGTTTAACAAAATTCGACTTTTTTAACGATTTACCTTTGCATTTGGTCGCTGATAATTTATTAAATGTGACTTTTGGTATTTGTGGACGACGGCTTTCAAGTTTACTTAAATGAAATAATGTGTTGTGCCATTAACAAGAAAGATCACGAGACATGTACTGTCTCTACGTCTTCTAGAACTTGTTTGAAAAATACATCTCTCCAATAACCTCTACCTCAACTTAACCCTCTACTTCAACCTTAACCCTCTACTTCACCATCTACCTCAACCTTAACCCTCTACTTCACCCTCTACCTCAACCTTAACCCTCTACTTCAACCTCTACCTCAACTTAACCCTCTACTTCACCTCTACCTCAACTTAATCCTCTACTTCACCCTCTACCTCAACTTTAACCTCTACTTCACCCTCTACCTCAAACTTTAACCTACTTACCTTACCGCTCAACCTTAACCTCTACTACCCATTGTCCTAAACCATCAAGCTCACAGCTTACGTCCAATCTCAAACCAGGCCTAAACAGTAGTTCTATCTTTTCACAAAACAACTAAGCCTCGTCGCTAAATCTCAAACTTCACCATACGAGCCACAAATACTTTCTTCCAGCCAAACTAAAAGCTCTATAGGTTACTCTTTACCAACAACAAAGTATTGCTTTTCACCTAACAGAAGCCTGGTAGCTTCTCACGTCACTAAACTTAAAAGCCTGTAGCTGTCCTCAACCAATCCTAATTAACAATTGACTAATACTAGCACCCTTTCATGCAATCTGCTCACCAGGACTATACTAGTAGTGGCAGCTTTATCCACAAATCATAAAGCTGGTCAGGCTGACACTCAGGATCATAAGAACGTGGCAGTCTATCATCAGCAATCATAAGAGTCTGTGCAGTCCTATCTTTACCAGGACATACAGAGTGGCTAGGCTTTTCACCAGGATCATAAGCTGACAGCTCTGACTCACCAGATCATAAAGTGGCAAGGCTGTTCACCAGGATCATATAGTGCAGTCTGATATAGGACATAGATGGCTCTATCTCGATCAAGATGCAGCTGACACCAGGATCATAAGAGTGACAGCTGATCACCAGGATCAAAGAGGGCAGTCTGATCTCAGGATCATAAGAGTGGCAGCTGATCACCAGGATCATAGAAGTGGCAGCTGGATCACAGATCATAAAGTGCAGTCTGATCACCAGGATCATAAGAGTGACAGTCTGATCACCAGGATCATAAGAGTGCAGGCTGATCACCAGGATCTAAGAGTGGCAGTCTGATCACCAGATCATAAGAGTGACAGTCTGATCACCAGGATCATAAGAGTGGCAGCTGATCACCAGGATCATAAGAGTGACAGTCTGATCACCAGGATCATAAGAGTGGCAGTCTGATCACCAGGATCATAAGAGTGACAGTCTGATCACCAGGATCATAAGAGTGACAGTCTGATCACCAGGATCATAAGAGTGACAGTCTGATCACCAGGATCATAAGAGTGTGCAGTCTGATCACCAGGATCATAAGAGTGGCAGTCTGATCATCAGGATCATAAGAGTGACAGTCTGATCACCAGGATCTAAGAGTGGCAGTCTGATCACCAGGATCATAAGAGTGGCAGGCTGATCACCAGGATCATAAGAGTGACAGTCTGATCACCAGGATCATAAGAGTGACAGTCTGATCACCAGGATCATAAGAGTGCAGTCTGATCACCAGGATCATAAGAGTGGCAGTCTGATCACCAGGATCATAAGAGTGGCAGTCTGATCATCAGGATCATAAGAGTGACAGTCTGATCACCAGGATCATAAGAGTGACAGTCTGATCACCAGGATCATAAGAGTGGCAGGCTGATCACCAGGATCATAAGAGTGGCAGGCTGATCACCAGGATCATAAGAGTGGCAGTCTGATCACCAGGATCATAAGAGTGACAGTCTGATCATCAGGATCATAAGAGTGACAGTCTGATCACCAGGATCATAAGAGTGGCAGTCTGATCACCAGGATCATAAGAGTGGCAGTCTGATCACCAGGATCATAAGAGTGACAGTCTGATCACCAGGATCATAAGAGTGACAGTCTGATCACCAGGATCATAAGAGTGGCAGGCTGATCACCAGGATCATAAGAGTGGCAGTCTGATCACCAGGATCATAAGAGTGGCAGTCTGATCACCAGGATCATAAGAGTGGCAGTCTGATCACCAGGATCATAAGAGTGGCAGTCTGATCACCAGGATCATAAGAGTGGCAGTCTGATCACCAGGATCATAAGAGTGGCAGTCTGATCATCAGGATCATAAGAGTGACAGTCTGATCACCAGGATCATAAGAGTGACAGTCTGATCACCAGGATCATAAGAGTGGCAGGCTGATCACCAGGATCATAAGAGTGGCAGGCTGATCACCAGGATCATAAGAGTGGCAGTCTGATCACCAGGATCATAAGAGTGACAGTCTGATCATCAGGATCATAAGAGTGACAGTCTGATCATCAGGACCATAAGAGTGGCAGTCTGATCACCAGGATCATAAGAGTGGCAGGCTGATCACCAGGATCATAAGAGTGGCAGTCTGATCACCAGGATCATAAGAGTGGCAGGCTGATCACCAGGATCATAAGAGTGGCAGTCTGATCACCAGGATCATAAGAGTGACAGTCTGATCATCAGGATCATAAGAGTGACAGTCTGATCACCAGGATCATAAGAGTGGCAGGCTGATCACCAGGATCATAAGAGTGGCAGGCTGATCACCAGGATCATAAGAGTGGCAGTCTGATCACCAGGATCATAAGAGTGACAGTCTGATCATCAGGATCATAAGAGTGACAGGCTGATCACCAGGATCATAAGAGTGGCAGTCTGATCACCAGGATCATAAGAGTGGCAGTCTGATCACCAGGATCATAAGAGTGGCAGGCTGATCACCAGGATCATAAGAGTGACAGTCTGATCACCAGGATCATAATGTGTTGAACCACTAAATAAATACAACAACAGTCTTGGCAGTGTGGAACCACTGAGTGCACCAACAGTCTGGGCAGTGTGGAACCACTGAGTGCACCAACAGTCTGGGCAGTGTGGAACCACTGAGTGCAACAACAGTCTGGGCAGTGTGTGAAACCACTGAGTGCAACAACAGTCTGGGCAGTGTGGAACCACTGAGTGCAACTACAGTCTGGGCAGTGTGAAACCACTGAGTGCAACAACAGTCTGGGCAGTGTGAAACCACTGAGTGCAACAACAGTCTGGGCAGTGTGGAACCACTGAGTGCAACTACAGTCTGGGCAGTGTGAAACCACTGAGTGCAACAACAGTCTGGGCAGTGTGAAACCACTGAGTGCAACAACAGTCTGGGCAGTGTGAAACCACTGAGTGCACCAACAGTCTGGGCAGTGTGGAACCACTGAGTGCAACAACATTCTGGGCAGTGTGAAACCACTGAGTGCAACAACAGAGCCTAATTACCCAGGTTGTTACTGCTGGCCCCAAGAAATAACCATACGAACCACAGCCTGGCTGGTCAGGCACTTTAGGGGGAAGAGAAGGATTCAACGTGACAATTTTCAATAACAGTCCAATATAAATTAATTTTTTTACTGCGAATTAAGAAGTTAATAAGAAGTGTATCCCAGATGTTTCATAAAGTTTTCCCAAAAATAGTAAAAATTATTTTTGATATGGCATCACCTTGGCAAACTTTGTCCCAAGTGAAAATTTGTGTATGCAATAATTTCGCCAAAATCATTCTGAACCTAACGAAAAAAAATATATTTCACTGTGTTTGTTTAGTATTAAATTATTGTAAACAAATCTAAAATATATTTAGTTGGGTTAGGCTAAAATAAATTACGCTTGTTATAATAAGGTTAGATTAAATAACAAAAAGGCACAATACTGTGACTGGAACGATACACAAATAACTCGCACGTAGAAGAGAGGAGCTAACGACGACGTTTCGGTCCGACTTGGACCATTTACAAAGTCATGCTGACTTTGAAATAGTCCAAGTCGGACCGAAACGTCGTTGTTAGCTCCTCTCTTCTATGTGCGGGTTGTATGTGTAAGGTTAGGTAAGTTTTCTAAGTTCCTTTTGGTGCAAAATTATAAATTTTTACATCAACATTAATGTAAAAAATAGATCTTTAAACGTATAAGAGAAAATTTTAGCAAGGACTTAATTTTAAAAAAGTTCTTGCTAATTGACCAGTTTTACATGGTAGGGTGTGCAAAAGAAGAAAATTAAAGGTGAATACAGGAAAGAGTAAGGTTATGAGGATAACAAAAAGATTAGGTGATGAAAGATTGGATATCAGATTGGAGGGAGAGAGTATGGAGGAGGTGAATGTATTCAGATATTTGGGAGTGGACGTGTCAACGGATGGGTCTATGAAAGATGAGGTGAATCATAGAATTGATGAGGGAAAAAGAGTGAGTGGTGCACTTAGGAGTCTGTGGAGACAAAGAACTTTGTCCTTGGAGGCAAAGAGGGGAATGTATGAGAGTATAGTTTTACCAACGTCTTATATGGGTGTGAAGCATGGGTGATGAATGTTGCAGCGAGGAGAAGGCTGGAGGCAGTGGAGATGTCATGTCTGAGGGCAATGTGTGGTGTGAATATAATGCAGAGAATTCGTAGTTTGGAAGTTAGGAGGAGGTGCGGGATTACCAAAACTGTTGTCCAGAGGCTGAGGAAGGGTTGTTGAGGTGGTTCGGACATGTAGAGAGAATGGAGCGAAACAGAATGACTTCAAGAGTGTATCAGTCTGTAGTGGAAGGAAGGCGGGGTAGGGGTCGGCCTAGGAA